TTTTTTCTTTTCCCTTATTTCCCTTCCCCTATCCATCCCACCTTTTTAAGGGCTCTATTTAACTGTTAACTATAACCAAAGTGCTGCTAGGTCTCACTGTAGTGTCTTTGTCGGGAACTTGACTTATACTTCACAGACTTAGCTAGTAATAATTAAGTACCTTAAAATGTAAAAGAATATGCTTATCAAAAATACACCATTGTGGGCCGGGGATTTAGATCAGCGGTTCGGTGGCCTGCCTTGCAAGTGCAAGGACCCGAGTTCGATCCTCAGTACCGAAAAAACAGAAAAAAAAAAAAAATACACCATTGCACTTTTAACTTTTTTCCCTAAAAGTCCAGATATTTAAATTGAGAAACAAAGACCTAACTCAAGAATTTTGGACCTTGGCTTTATTAACATTTTGGATAGGTTACATCTTTTGTGGAAACTGACCTGTGCATTAAAAGATGTTTAGCAACATCCATGGCCTTTCCCTGTTGTGATTTTTAAAATTATTATAGACATCAAAGCCATCTGGAGGCATAACTTGCATTCACTTGATAAATACTAGCGAATATCTCTTACCCAATCAGTTATACTGCCCTAAAACCCTATCATGTGAAGTAGGAATATAAATAACTAATGACAGATTAAATAAAATATAATTATTATCAATGAAAAATACCCAGGCTATATACTCTTGAGAAATAGGAAAAATTTATGTAAAGTTAAATTTGGATAAATACTAATGATGTATTGGTATATTTCTGACCAATAATGCTTATTAAATATAAAGAGATGTGTCTGGTAGCAATTAAATTGGCTTAATATCTGGCATACGTGTATCACTTACATTATGGATAATCTGTCAGTAAATATGCTGTTAAACAATCTGTTGATTCAAGTGCAATTGAGCATTTCTTTTCTGAATCCCATTATATTCATGATTTTAGAGGTATGATTCCCAGCATTGTGAAGTATGGGGAGAATTGTCATTGTACTTGTTCATGTACGTGTGCACAACATGCTTGGTATAAAGCCTTTGCAGAGATCCAATGCTTGAGATTTTTATAAGTGCATTGATTTTTCGTAACACGTTTTATGGATTTGGAGATATTGAGCAGAGAAGATAAAAGTTTGTCTGCTTACTTTTTCTGTTACATTCAAAGCCGATTTTTAAAAACTCATAGTTGTATAGTTAAAGTAGGTGACATACTGATATTTAATGGTTCATAGTTCAAGTGGGCCAATTCTTAAACACTTATTTAGTGCTTTATACTGCTTTTCATGCTGTTTTACATGCAATTTAAATTATTACTTCACAGAAGTGATCTTTCTTCAAAGTGAAAACTAACAGCACATTCTTTCTTCCCTTCCCTTTCAGTTTTGTAATATATCCAATAATTCCCTTTGTTTTGCTTTTATCAGATCATTATAATTAATCTTAAGGAATGTTAAAGTTTACTAATATACTCCTTACCTATTAGAAATTTAATAAAGATTTAATAGACGGCCTAATAACTATTTGTTAAATCAAATTCACTAAATTTCTTTCACATTTCAAAGTCACTACATAGATGTTGTTTACACCACTAGGCTCAGTAAGGGCTTCATGAGTAAATTACAAGAAAGTCATGGCTTTAATAATCTCACGAATAAAGATAAATACAAGTAACTCTAATGCAATGTTGAGTTTGATGAGCTTATAAGAAGGAAAAAAGTAAAATGATAGGACACTGACACCAAAAGATTTCTAGAGAGGTAATTCTCTGTTTCATACCACCACACCTGGAAATCCCATCCAAACTAAAGGGACATTCTCTGACCCTCTCAGTGGCACAAATATCTACTCTGGTTAGATTTCAGCCCTATCTAAATCTCAATTAAGTCAACCAACATACAACACTAAAGGAATTTTTAATACACCGCTACATTTCCTGATTTAGCCAGGCTGAGTTTTGGAGATAAACTCTCGAGATATATAATTTTCAACCACAATTTCCAGTACTAAAGCACCATTCTAGGCAGGCAAGCATTCATTATTATAGTGTGTCAGCATGACCCTCCCGGCCTGGCTATCACATGATCAAGCCAACTTCCTCCTAGATGCAAGCTCAGCTAGAATGTTGAAAGCCTGGATCTTTCAGTATATTTCTCATTTAGCGTAGTCAGGTGGTCTGTAATTACCCTGTGTGACTGAATATTGTTACTTAATAATCAGAGTTGTATAACTGAGAGTACTCATTTGGCTTTTTCCATATCTGTATCTTTTATGGTTTAAAATAGTCACTGCCTTAAATCAGGATTTGAAAAATTTTAAAAATTCTGAAATTCCTTTGCTAGTTTTTCGTTAGGAATGTTTTAATCATGTTGCAGAAGGATTATGTTGTAGTTTATAGGGTAAATACATTTGTTTTGGAAATTTTGACTAAAGAATAAAGAATCATTAAAGATTTAGAGAAATTATTTCCTTTTTAAAAATACCATATTGTGCTTTGGCACTTGGAGTTTACATACCCATTTTAGTCAGTAAAAATTGTGTATATTTGAATATACTTTTCACTTGTTTGTGAGTAAAAGATAAATTTTAAAACTAAATAGAGATGAAACCCAAGGTAAAAATAAAATATTATATAGATTGTCATGTCAAAATTTCCACATAGTGCATTTTTTTCAGTGGATGCATTTTTATGAGTCTGGCAATTTTGCTGAAATAGTCAATTCCATTTTTAGTCAAGATAGATATTATTATTCTCAGAGAATAACTTTGAATAATGATCTGTGTGATTTTAATTTCGTTATAAAAAGTTCCATAATGTCAAAGGAACATAAATACCTGACCTAAACCTCTACTTGGTCAGGGAAAGTCATCTTGTTCAATTTATTCCTGGATGCTCTTTGGAGGAAGGCATGGAAGACGGGTAACCTCACATCCTGTGTCTACATGTATGATCCTGTTAGTTTACATGAAAGACATTTAATACATGCCTATTTTATTCCATTTTAGTGTTAATCCAGTGAATAAGACAAAATCTGTTGTTATTCAATGTATAAGCTGATATAATTTCAAAATGAACAGACTAGGGTCACATTTTGAACTAAAGGAGATTCAGAATAATTCTCTGTGACTAGCAAATGTAGCTATTGCTGTGTTGAGCTGTGCAGGTGAGAAAAGTGCGAGGGGAAATGTGGTAAAAGGTAACATATATTTACCTAGGGAAATTTTAATTTTTCTCAGTAGAAAAGAAAAACATTGTAAGTGTACATTTCATAGCTTCATTTATGGTCTAGAATAAAACAGCAAACAGCCTTTAATTGAACCCTAAGTGACTCTAAGTTAAAAAGAGTGGTGAATATCATCACCGAGGACAAAGAAGTGATGCTACACAAAGGCCAAAAAGAATAAGTCATATCAAGTCTGGCAAGAAGCAGCCCGCATCCCTAAAGTGAACTTGTGCTCCTCATAGAGGAGCTCTAAATTATCAAGCACACATAAAGAATTATTCCCAATAAAATCTTCATGGTAGAAAAATACACACTGGGAAATTCAAACACTAAATGGTACCTACATCCGGCTATATTTATGAGAACAAATGGGAAAGAAGAAAAGTAAGTAACTCGACCTCTCATTGCAATGCCTTGACACCCAATGTAAGTCAAATTCTCACTCCAAATAAAATATATAATTCACCTAGAATATTTGGATAAGGAGGTCTTTGTATCACAGATGCAACATTTTAAAATATTCATTCGGCTGTTCTTATGGGATGAGTTGGCTTTTGCATCCCTGTAGACAGCTTTTGGATTTTTCATCAACTCGTTTTCCATGCATGGGTGTGGAATCTCTCTGCTCAGCTTCTTTAACCTGAGTGACAACCTGGCTTCCCCTCTCTTTAGAAAATCCAGGGTGACATGGTTTTCATTACCCTGCTGTGGTACTCCTAGCTCTTTCTGCCCCTCATACCCTCAAGTGTGGAGCGGCTGACTCTACAGCTGTAGGCAGGATCTGGTAATATATTCCTGTGAGGCAGCCTAAAGTCTTGCCAGAGGAATACACCGAGAAGGTGGAGTTGTTTGTCTGTTTGCGTGTAGTTTTGCTTCATTTCTTCATTGTTGGATTCTTAGATGGAAAATTGAAGGAAAAAACTGCACTCACTGTGAAACATTTACTTCTCCACTAATCCAGTTCTTTATTCCCTCTTTGCAATTTGAGAAGGAGAGCATTTTGAGTTTCTAAAAAAAAAAGTTCATTTAAACAAGCATTTTTACCTTACCTCCTCTGAAATATCAAATGTAAAATTTATTTCTTCATCTCCATTGAAAAATTACATTCATTCAGTATGACCAGAGTGCTGCTAGTTAACAGTCTTGCCATCAGACAACCTGGCGCCCTCAGCAGCTGGAATGCAATTTATGCCAGGTGGTGTTCGCTTTGAAGTCCTTGATACAACGCCTGTCCATTTACCCTTGTGCCTACTCACACACTTCATTCCTGTGCATGGCCATTCAAAGCTCCTCAGTGTACAAAGTGAACTTTCAAATTTTCTGCAGTTCCTGTAACTGTGGAGCAAAACTTGAACCTACCATCATAAAAAATGATAGAAAATATTAATGACAGAAAACTTTGGCTCAAGATGGATTAACAGAGCCACAATATCAATTGTGTAATTCTAGAAAATATTTAAACAGATGGACTTCTATGTGAGTGACCTTTTCCTAAACAACATGAGGAAAATCCATTGGGAAGTCAATACTCATTTAACTTTATTGGCCTGTATTACTTACACTCAGATTGTTTATTGCTGAACTGAATCTAATATGACATTCACCCATTGGCTGGTAATTAGATCTTAAAAGAAATAGTGAAAATACTTAGGACCGCAAGAAATGTCATGGTATTATTTCATTATGCATATCATCATTTTTCTTGATTGGTCTTGATGAGTCCAATCACGGGGAGAATGAAAGCAAATGCAGTTATGGTTTACAGCACTAACATTATTCCTCTGCTCTGTCAGATGTGTTGTAGAAGACAAGAACTCAAAGGTGGCCTGGTTGAACCGTTCTGGCATCATTTTCGCTGGACATGACAAGTGGTCTCTGGATCCCCGGGTTGAGCTGGAGAAACGCCATTCTCTGGAATACAGCCTCCGAATCCAGAAAGTGGATGTCTATGATGAGGGTTCCTACACATGCTCCGTTCAGACACAGCATGAGCCCAAGACCTCCCAAGTTTACTTGATCGTTCAAGGTAAGAAAAAGGTAGGCTAAGTGGGTAGGTAGGAAGGTGAGAGACGGAGGGCGGGAGTAACCACAATGTAGGAAATATTCGCAAAATCCTTTCTGAAAACCAGAGGCTTCAGAATATATTATTGCACTTAGTGTCTGTTTTCTTTTTAGAATATAGACTTAAAGTGAGAATACTGAAGGCCAGGGATTTAGCTCATCCTGCCTCGAAAGCAGAAAGTCCTGAGTTGGATACCCGGTACAAAAAAAAAAAAAAAAAAAAAAAAAAAAAAAGAAAAAAAAAAAAAAAAAAAATGAGGATACTGAGCAGAGAGGCAAATTGTGAGCCAGCACTTTGGTGAGAATGTTTCTCCTATCTCTGAGTTTGAAAACAGATACACAGAGTCCTTAGAACTATAGGAAGCTCACATTCCCAAACTACTGGGACAATTTGAATTTAGGAAAGTTTGGTTGTATCTACTCTTGTCCCAAAGATAGTCAATGATTATCTGGTTATTTGACAGCAAAAATCTTTTGGGAAAAATTAAAATTCCATAGGTGAAGGTTATTTTCTTGGCCATCCAGATTTCTGTGTTGTTTGTATCTTCAATTAATAAATAATGTCCCTCTGAGCAAGTCCAGTGACAAGGGTCTCCAAAGTCACTGGGGACAAATTGTTTCTAGATGGGAGATTCCATCCAGAAGGCACATCTGAGTCATGATTTTACAGAGTGGAAACCCTAAAATTCATACACATGCCCCCAAACTATAGCTCTCTTGGGTCTGTTTCCCCATAATTGCAGAATGGAAACAAAGCTGATCAACTGCACAGATTTTTTTGCAAGCAAAGTCAACACAGCAGCAGTTTCAGTCCATCGATCAGGAAAGATCTAAGCACTAACAAATATCAGGGCTGTGTTCATGTACTTTGATTTACAATTTTATGTAGATTTAATGCAAATTAGGCATGGCTCTAGGGCTCCTGTCAGGATTCCAGTGGAGTCAGTGGTGTGGCGAACTTTGAATGTAGCTTCTATTAATGTGTTATGGAATTGATTATTGCCACATTTAAATTATTGCTTTCCCAGATCTTCTGATTAATAGATTGAAACTGGAATAAAATACATCAGAGACTGCCTGGTAGTTTAGTCATGTGACCTCTATCTTGGTACATTTGCAATGGCTGACAGCTTCATTTTATTTCTCATAAAAGGCATGTCTACTGATTTGCAGAGTTCCAGTCGTAGCCAAAGCATAAGATGCTTTCCTTACAGTTTAATGGAGAGTGCTTGAACTCTATCATGAGAGATATTAGTCTTTAGATCTCAGCCAACACATTTACAATGTAAATATAAGTAGAATTATGTAAATATGTCAAAGAGTTAATTTAGCAGCTCATTCAAAACATGTACAAGTGTACACACACATGCATGCAACCACATGCACACACACACACACACAGACTCCTACTTCCAAATAGATAATTTCTACTTGATTCTATGAACTAGGGAGAAGTGATAACTTGTTTACATATGACTTTTTAGAACAGCTTTTACTTAATGAATGGTTATTGTGTATACATTGTGACTTTCTCCTTTGATTTTTGATATGTTTTATTCATATATTTTTTTCATCTACAAAGATATTTATTACAGTATTTCTTTTTTAAAAATTTAATTTGTTGGTACATTCTAGGTAGACGGTACAGTTACATTGATTACTGGGATCTTGTACCTTTACATGCCAGGTCTTGGTTCTCATTTTTTCCCCTTGTCCCCACCCTCCCTTCACCCTCCCCTCCCCTCCCCTTCATACACTTTAATATATTTCTTTATAGAATATTTTACTTGAAAACAAATCTGAGTAGTTGTAAGAATTCAATACAATCTTAGTACTTTGAATGCTTTATTGTCATTAGAAAGCTTCTAGAGACCAAAATAGATATTTTGTGTTGTCCTACACTAAAAAATCAGATAATCAGTTCTTTGGTGAGAGAAAGATGAGAGAAAAGATCATCAAATTTATATTACTTGTTGTAGGTCACCCGGCGAGTTCAGGGAGTAGTTAGCTAAGAGCTGAGCAGATCTGGAATCACATTTAAAACACTGTCTCCTGGAATGGAATTTTTCCTTTTGAATTTCAGGACTACTTGAAAGGTTTATTTTTAAATCTGAAATCCTGACCATCCCAAGATTGTTAAAATCAGATCTCAGAACATACTGTGCGTACCTTCATACCATGGCAGTGTAGGTGAAATTTAATTTAGTGTTATGGGATGGAAAAAAGTCAACACAGCTGCCAAGTTCTGTTTGTTTATTACCTTGTTTAATTCTAATATGTACTATTATGTAGATGTGAAAAATTTTATTATATGTGTGAAAAAGGTTACAGTTCAGAGGCAATAAGGAATTTGTCTAGAGCTCTCTCTAGGCCTAGAACTGCATTCCAGATCCCTATCAGTGTGATTCAAATTCTTATTTTTTTCTTAACCCTATTGCCTTCAAAGAGACCACGAGCAGCAAAGCCTCTACTTATAAGAAGGATGAAGAAAGGATTGTCTTTTCCTTGGGACTGCGTCATCCAGGGGGTTCTTTCGGACAGTTGCATGTATCTAGATATTTTGATATAGGATATAATTCCCAACCTGTTGATGTCAGATGTGTCGAATTCATGCTTCTCAAATTTGAAGAAACATGAATTCCAAAGGACACAGGAGGTTAGGACTAGGATGAGCAGGTTGCCACCAAGGTCATTCTCTGAGAATGTTTTATAGTGCAAAATCACAGGGCGGGTACAAACTAGGTCAAACTATAATCATCCAGAAAGATTACACAGCCACTCTGCCAGTATTGATGCAATAGGAAATCCAGCAAAGTAGCAAAGGCGTATGGATGACATCAGCCGTGGCTCCTCTGTGACTTGGAAAATAGGAATGTTCTCGAGAAGGGATGGGCCCAGATGTTCTGGTCACCCACCGGGGTCTTCCCATGTGTATCTGGACTTAATGAGCAGAGTAATACCAAATAGAGTACAATCTCAAATTTCCATTCATCCCTTAGGGAAGTGCCCAAGTCTGACCATTTGTGATTTTAACCTCAAGACCAACCTCATCTTCTTCAGTCGCGCTTCTAGCTGTGACTCTGAAATCTCTACCTTTCACTGACTTTCTTGACAGCCCAGTAGTCCCTCTCTGACTGTATGTTAATTTTCATCTAACTTAGCTGCCCATAATAATTTGATTTCTTTCACCAGACAGTTGAACCATCTCTCTTTATGACACTCACTTTGTGGTTGTCAGGAATCCCATCCACTCGTACTCTTCTCACTGATTTCTACTCGGTGACTCACATCTCCATGATTTTTACCACCTCAATTTTTTATTATAGGTATGGCTTGGCATCCTTATTTCCCCCATTTCATAGCACCTTCCTTCAGAATGTAAGGGCCTTTTGGTTATTTTGTGTAGTGCCTTGAGTATGTCTTGTGGTTTTTGAAAATCAGTTTTGACAATCTCTCTCTTCTCTCTTTCTCTGTCTGTCTCTGTCCCCTCCCCTCTCCAGGGTCTTCCTACCTAGTGTAGCATGGCTTTGAATTCACTGTGTTGCTCAGACCTCTCACAGTGATTGCTCTGCCCTAGGCTCCAGAATGTTGGGATTCTAGGCATGTGCCACCACAACTGGGTTTCTTAACCAATTATTTAATGAGCACTTGGCTCTTTTTCATTAGCTAATGACAAGATCACTCATAGATCAAAGGTGCGAGGAGAATCACTAAAGAATAGTGCTTAAGAAAGTGAGCTTTGCAGTCATGCTGCCTGATTGTAATCTCACTTTTCCTTCATCCTATCCAAATAGGCTTGGGAGTAAACCACTTTGATTTTTCAATGCTCAGCTTTGTTACATGTGAGATACAGATACAAATTTAAATATTAAAATTCTACTAAATTTATTATAAAGAATACGTTCGATGATCACCCAGCCTGATGTCTGGAAATAATGTGTTCTCACCAGATAAATGACGATGAAGAGGATGAGGATGAAGATGATGACAATGATGATAAATGCCACGATGCTATTGCTGCTCCAATATTTCTGTGAGGCTCACTATCATGTGGGGTACAGTGAAAGGGTAATGGGAGTTGGTAGAGACCCCAATAGTGGCCCGGGCCTCCTGCAAGCCCATACCAAGTCCATGAGATAGGAACGTAGGAATTAAAAGAAACACAGAGATAGAGATGTGAAAGAAACTGAGTCTTGGGCTGATCTAAGCTGCTCTCGGCAGCAAAGACAAAGAACTCCCAGGACACCCAGTGTACATTCATTCATTACAAGTGTGGGAAGTGGGGAAGCTGGACAGGAGCTGGGGCACCTGCTGATACCAAGTACCAAGCAGTCCAAACTATAGAATGAGGGCACAAGCATGTCTTTGCTGAAGAGAACAAATGGTTAATTCAGAGGGAAGAATTTAGTTGGAGTCACTTGACCTTGACTGGGAATGAACTCAGTCAAGCTCTGCTACTTACGATGTAACAGCCGGATCATGGAAGGGCAAGAAGCATGTGCCACTGTAGCCTGTTCATACTGGGCAGAGGTGTCTGCCACAGTGGAATGCTACCCAGAATCCAGCTGCTGATTTTATTCATAATCTCTTATTCCATGCAGTTAGCTCAGTCAGTTTTTATTGTGGGCCCCTCCAACTGATATGTCAGCTGCCCCTTTCCTCAGCATCTAGTCTTTAGCTATTTTCTTTGGACTCCAGAAGGCTTATTAAACTAGCATCACTTTACACTTTTACTCACATTTATTAAAGATGTCTGAGTCAAAAAAGGCAGTTCGCATCAGCTACACTTAGAGGTTTTGCCACATTTTATGTGGTGGAATCTCCCCTGGAATTTCTGACTCAGTAGATCTGTGCAGTACCTGAGAATTTGCATTTATAGAAAGTTCTAAGGTGATATTGATACCACTGGTTATAAGGACCATACTTTGAGAATCACTGTCCTGAAAGAATTTTATGTTTGAAAAT